ATCCAGTGTAACACACATCCCATGCCGAGCCCGTGTGTCCCAGATCCCCCAGTTCCAAGGGGAACCCGCCGGGCTGGAGAAGGGGCACAGCACAAAGATGGGGCTCAACCAGAGCGCAGTGCTTGGGGAGGATTCCCTGTGCCCTCATGCTCCGCCACAGCGGCCAGTTGGAGAAGCCGCCCTGCACCATGAGCACACTGGAATTACGTGTTATTCCAGGCTCACTCTGCTGGGAAGAGCCTGTTGTCACAACAGTGTGAGCCACAGTGTGAGCGCAGGAGGCAGCTCACGGGCTGTTATCGGTATCTACACGGATGTTGTGTGTATTGTTGTGCTCAAGGCGTATGGCAAGCGAGTGTTTTACTCTGGAATGACACCATTGCTCCTTTATATCCATTTCCTGCCATAAACAAATCCATAAGGTATTCCTTAGAAACATTTTCTTAGACAAACATACAGAGAGCAGGAAAGCAGCAGGAGTGCATACGCTGACTGCATATGAGCAATGAATGACACAGTAAGGAACGCGCTGCAGGCAGTGCAGTTAAGTGCAACCTGCACCACCCCGGTGCAGCTCCAGACAAAACTGAGTCAAAATCAGGGCAGGTCCTTTGACACTCAGCTGAAGTGTGGGACAACACTGAGCAGGCATCTTTAATCCAACCTGAACAACTGAAACCAGGGCAGAAGGACCACAGTGGTGGAACAGCGGTGCTGAAACCACAGCCTGACTGCAGTGTGGCTTCCTGAGCCTCCCACAAGATCACACTTCCACCCTTGGGGACCCAAACCACAACATGCTTCCCGTTCCCTCCAGTGAGCCATCCTCACACAGGTCTGTAGCAAAACAACCACGTGCCTCAACCAGCTCCGAGTTCCCAGAACTGGATTTATCCCACCTGGGTTTAAACTCCTCCAGTTAGGTGCCTAGTTGCCTCCTCTTGCTGTCTGTTCCATCTTCCCAATGTCTGAGAGATGGTTTCATGCTGTTCTAATAATTAAGAATCAGTAAATTTTAAGACATTTTCATTTTGGAACTGACAGAGTGAATCTGAAGCTTCTGAAACACTGTAGAAGTGGCAGTTCTGGCTGCTGCTTTCCCAAATCTTCTCTTCTAACAGCATTAACTTACTAATGAAGAGGTATGTGAAGTCCAACAGAAAATTCTCCTGGTTTTAAACACAGATGAGTCCTGCAGCTCACCAGCCCACTTCCAGCCACTCTTGCACTTCAAGTGAGTCTCACTTCTGCAACTGAAAGATCTTGGACCTGCTTGAGCAAATCCAGAAGAGGCCCCGGAGCTACTGCAAGGGCTGGAGCAGCTCTGCTCTGGAGCCAGGCTGAGAGAGCTGGGCTGGGGCAGCTGAAGAAGAGAAGGCTCCTCAAAGGGACACCTTAGAGCAGCTCCAGTGCCTAAAGGGGCTCCAGGAAACCTGGAGAGGGGCTTTGGACAAGGGCCTGGAGGGACAGGCCAAGGGGAATGGCTTTAACCTGCCAGAGGGGAGATTGAGATGAGCTCTGAGGCAGAAGCTCTCCCCTGTGAGGGTGCTGAGGCGCTGGCACAGGGTGCCCAGAGAAGCTGTGGCTGCCCCATCCCTGGCAGTGTTCAAGGCCAGGTTGGACACAGGGCCTTGGAGGAACCTGCTCTAGCGGAAGGTGTCCCTGATAAACTCTAAGGTCCTTTGCAACCCAACCAGTCTGGGATTCTATGATCTTCAGGCTCCTAATATTTGGGGTCGCCCACAAGTCCACCAAACACATCAGCAGAAATACAGCAGGAACGCCCAAGCACTTTTACGAAGTTTGCTTATGACAAAGCTCCTACTATTTCTCAGCAGAGAACAAGCTCTTCTCACCTCATCCCCTAATCTAATCTCTCCTTCAGGAGATTAGTCTCTTCCTGAACTCCTTGCCCTCCTAAATTGCTGTTGTTCCTTTTCTTTCTGCTGCTCCTCTGCTGGAGGGAGCGGCTGGTACAGGGTGCCACAGTCAGCCTGAGTGCTCGGGTGCATGTGAGGGTATAGACACTGTATGGGGTGTCTTCTACCAGGAATGATGACCTCATCCAGCTTTCCAGTGTTAGTGATCCTTCCTTTCCTACCTTCCTTCCTTCCTTAGGATTCTTACTGAGAAACCAGCTGCATTTTATCCCTCAAAATGAAAAGGTGAGCCTAAGTCATGCTTCAGTTCAGACCTGAAGCCCCCTGTTGACTGAAACCACCAGGGATGCTCCTGGGATAAAAGAGTTGGTAATAATCAGACATTCAACACCCAACACTGATAATCTTTCTCTTGTGCTGCAGGGTAACAGCTCGAGGGCAGTGGGTGTTGCTAAAGCAAGAGCAGACTTCCTACCCCGAGAGCTCAGAACCGGTGATTCTTCTCTCCCTAATGAAAGCCCTGCAGTCAGTATTAACAGCAGATCATTCCTCTGAGCCCTCTGCTGGCCAGCAAAGCAGTGTGTAGAGACCCAATTAAATTGCTTTCAACATAAAATACTCATTTAGTAATAATGATAGAGCCTGACTATCACAATGAGCAAAGCTGCAGCCTGCTAATGCCACGGGGTCTGCTTCTGGACAGGAATTGCTCAGTGAGATTATCAGCCCTTGTAAAATATCTTGGCCACGAAGTTACTGATTAACTCAGGTCCCCACCTCATAAAAACATCATATTGGAGGAGCACAACATGCTTAAAGCTGTCACTAATCAATCATGCCTAAAACAGCAATAAAGCAACACATAAAAGGAGCCAGCAACTCAGCAGATCCTTCAGCTAAGGGGAGAAAAACTGCACCGAGGTGTATCTCCATGGAGAAATCCACTGACAAGCTGAACAAGGAGCATGGATCCACAGCTCCTGGAGCACCACAGGCTGAAAAACAGAGTCCTGCACCCGCTGTGGAATGTGCTGCAAGAATGAGCAGAGGAGAAGATGTGAAGAGCCTGGGATTCACTGAAGAATGTGTTAAAGAAATGGAGAGACCCTCAGGCATGGAGCAAGACAGTCCTGATGTCCCTAAACCAGCAGGTTTGGAAAGAGACTGTCCCAACTCAGTGTCTCTTGTGCTAACAAACAAAAACTCTCCTGAAGGACACGGTTTGGAAATGAACCACCAGTGTTCAACCACCTCTATTGACCTAGACTGCCTGGTCTGCTTCAACAAGTACAACATGTACAGAGTGCCCAAGCTCCTGGACTGTCAGCACGCCTTCTGCGCGGTGTGCCTCAAGCTCATCCTTAGGAAAGATGGGAATACCTGGATAATCACCTGCCCCCTGTGCCGAAAAGCCACTTTTGTGTCAGGGGGACTCATCCGCACACTTCAGAACAAAGAAGACATCATGGAGCACTTGGAAAGCCCCAGTTCACATGCTGAGGTACATGTCTCTGCCATAGGGCTGGACAGCAATAGCTGGACTCGGACCAGCCAAGACTTGCTCTACAGAGATGAAAACGTTCCGGCAGACGACAAGCTGGCTGTGCAGAGACTTGTGCTGCTCCTGCTGCTGGGGGTGATCCTCACCATCCTCATCCTCCCCTTTATATACTCTGGGCTGGTAAAATGGGTAGTTTGTCTCATGCTTGCTTTGGGGGTGGTCATGTCTGTGGCACTTTGCTGCACTCCTAAATTCTTCTGGAGGTCTAACAGGGACTTGCTCACCTCCTGCCACAAAGAGACCCACATCACCGCTATAGCCTGAACCAATAATGGACTGGTCCTGCCTGCAGAGCTGTCTCATCAGTTTGCTTTTGTCGTTGTATTCTTGTGTCATCTCCTGATCAGCACTGCAGAACATTATCTGAATCTGAGAGATTATGCCCTATGAAAATCCCATGGCTGTGTTTTACCCACTCTTAACACACGTACACCTTTTCTTGGGAGAGTGTGTGGAAAAACTGCTACCTCAGGGACTGGGTGCCCAGCCTCAGGGGATGAGAGAGGCTTTAACCCACATTAGCACTTGAATCCGCATCACTGCCCAAGTGCTTGTGGCACAGAGATGGGAAAGCGACTGGTAAAAGGGGATGTCGTTTTAAGTTACACACTACATTGGAGAGGAAGAGGCAAAATCAGCACTCCTAAGTCTGAGCCTGCGGCTTTCCAAGGACAAGGCTCTCAAAAGCTCAGGACCATCCAAATTCCCATGTTATTCAGCACTGAAACAGTTCCTCTCACCTGAACTCCTGTATCTGGCTATCTGCATCACCTCTCTTCTCACCCTCTTTACACCAAGTACAACATTGCCCCTGGAGATGCTCACCCAGATCAACTGCAAGGAGATACCACATGTGATATTTTCATATGGAATGTGTCCATTAAAAGTCTAAAAGTATTAATTATTTGCTCATTGACTTCTGTGTTTCGATTCCTCATGCCAAAACATTTCAGTTTCCTCACTGACAGGAACTACAGCTGAGAAGTGTATTATGGAGTCAGCACACTTGAGCTGGGGAGTAAAGCAACGCAGGAACGTGTTGGTGTTTTCCTTTCTTTAAAAGAAATACTTAGTTGTGAAGAAAATACAAAATTTAGGAGATTGCCCCAGTTCTGTTAACACTTTAAGAGTACCACAGATCTCAGTAGACCTTGGATCCAACCTGTGGTAAATATTTGTGTTTGATAAGAATGGAAACTGATGTTCTGCAGTTGCTCAGTATATAAATATACTCAGTGTCTCACACGCAGATAAACCAGATTAGACTGAGAGGGTAAGGAGCTGTTGTCCTCCTGAAGCCTTGGGAAAACCAGGTCTGTCCTCTGCCTCAGAACACAAACCTTAAGGGAAAGAAATGCTTTTTTCCCCTCATCTATTTGGACAGCCACTGCCTCATCGCAGACTACATATGTAGTAACATTTGCTAATGATCAACTAGAAAACAGGGGTTTCAGTTGGGAAAAAGCAGGTAGTTTGAAATCCAAATACTGTATTATTCCAAACACAGACTCAGCTGTACTGAAAATCACTTCGGGAACTCTTGGCAAGTGTCTCAGCTCACAGACAAGCTTCTTGTCGAGTTTCATTCACCAGCACTAGTGGGTGAGTGGTACTCTAAAGGTTTCTAACAAATGTGTTAATGCTGGCCTGGACGTAGCATGCACCAACGCATCAGAGTAAAAGGGGTAAAGGAAAACTGTGTGCTACTGGCTACAGAACACTGATCTCATAGATAGCAAGGAAGAAACAGACTGTCCTAAAGATAAGATGACAAAGATGATCTGGACTAGAGCCATAAAGTGATCCAAATTAAAAAGAAAAACATAAACCTTCGGAACTTTGCCTAAGAGGGAAGAGACCAAGGAAGACACCAACCACCACTGACTCCAGAAGGGTATGTATGTTGCACCCATTATCAGTTTGCCATCATCACTCAAGAAACATAATAAAGATTTGGGAGGCAATGTCCCTTATCTTCTGTATCACTCTCAAGGAAGCCTGGCCAGCCCACAGGGGTTTCTCAGCACATGGGTGTGAACAAAATGAGATCAGGGAATGAATGCGCACAGGAAAAATGTGTGTTACACATCAACCTGCCTTTCCAAAAGGCTGCATTCAATTTTATTACATTCATTTCTACAGTGCCAAAATAAAAAGCCAGTAAAAAGGGCTCCCCTCAAGGCAGCATACACCAGGGGGAAGGAAGAGACTGGCCCTCTGAAAGAACCCCTGTGGATCCAGGTTTCCACCCTGCTGCTCCCAAGCCTGCATGTAGCAGTCCAACTGAAATGTTTTGAGAGCCACTAACAACCAGTAGATCAGAGTTCATGGATGTTGGTGGGAGTCACCAGGCCCTAGAAACCGGTATCTGTTGATTCTCATCTGACAAGATAAGACTTGATGACAACGCAAATCTTTGAAGCAGCAACTAAGTTTCTGGAGAAAAGGCTAATGGGACTGTATTGCTAGTCCAAAACGTAGAGGGTTTGCTTGATTTGTTTCATTCATGCTAGTCTTTGTGGCAAGATTTCAGCTCTGAATTACCTTGCCCTGCTTGTCTTACCTATCTGGCTCCCAGTTTTGGAGAGTGACTAGTAACACGCTGTAGCTTAAGAGAGAGAGGTTTGTCACGAGAAATGGGCCCAGGCAGCAATATTCAGCTGTACCTGACAAACTGCATAACTATTCCTGGGTTAATGGTTGGACACGATGACCTTAAAGGTCTTTCCCAACCTGATTAATTCTATGATTCTGTCTGAGAACTGGGATTTACAAAGACAGAATCCCACGGAGACATTAAGCACATGATAAGACCCAACAGCAGTATTTAAGGTTTATAGTCTGTAGAGACAAAATCCTTCAAAGGTGCTTTGTTTAACAATGCATGTACACAAATGAGTGTTAAAATACGCCTCTCCTTTTGTCATGCTGTGCTCCCACTCTGCCTCTCTACCCACAGGGCCCTTCCCAAAGCCAGAACTTCTCCCATCCCAATCCCTTGTCAGGTTCCCCCTCAACAACCAGCACCACCATCGCCCACCAGAGTCACTAGTTCCTTATGTAAGGGAGTGAGACAGGTGCCTGAAAGATTCCGAGTGTAGGTGTTCTCAACTACTGTTAAATGTAGAAGTCTCACTTTATCTACAGAACTTTAAATTATCCATAATTGTGCTGGCTTTGACTCCTGTTAAACTCTATGATGAGATCCCAAGTTAACAACATCTGGTAAAACTCACTCCTAATTGTTATTCCACTCAGCTCATGTTTTGGTCCACTTTTAACAGCTCTTCTGTGTTGTCACGCAGCTAGAGAGAGGCGAAAATAACACATTTCACACTTCCACATCGCTCACATTCTGTACACAGAGAACTTTAGAGCTTCAAACACAGAACTGTCAAATCTACAAGAAACTAATTAGCAGATCTTGGTCTGAGAACACAGATTTGTGTCCAGGCAATTCTTGACTTGTTGTGAACCATTTGCAACTTGTCCATCGCATTGTGCAGGTACCAAAGTCACAGGCAAAGTAGATCCCTTCTGCACCTTAACTGGGATCAACAGAACTCGCCTTAGGAACTTCAGTGAACTTCAGTGTCACCTTTAACAACGCTGTGACAATGCTGCAAATGCCTGTACGGAACGTGAGTACTTGTGTGAGTAAACCTGAGGGGGTCTAATATTAGTAGCAAGCAACCAGCACAAGATATTTGGCCAAACTGAAATCATCTTTTAACCAGAACCCAGATTATTTTAAACATTTATTTATAAGTAAGTCCCACATAGCACATTTGCAAGTATCAATCAGTCACCCCAGCTACCAAGCAACCCAACTAGTGTAGCTTCTCACAGAAAAACTGCTCTCCTTCCCTTGGAAAAAATGCTGATTTCTCCAAAAATGACTGCACACTGACCTTGGGGCTCCAGCCTGAGACTTCTCTTGGAGTATGTTCATTTCTTAAACCCCCCAAAATACAACTCAAAATCCTTCTGCTTGAGTAGCTGAACTAACTGCAGAGCGTTAGGATTTCTGCAAGGCCAATGCACCACATCAAGCAAAGCCTGGGCCAGTAACGCTGCTGCTACCACAAGCAATGTATTTTAAACATAACAGATTTTAAACTGGAACAGGGGAAGTGCAGGTTAGATTTTAGGCAGCAGCTCTTCCCTGTGAGGGTGCTGAGGCGCTGGCACAGGGTGCCCAGAGAAGCTGTGGCTGCCCCATCCCTGGCAGTGTTCAAGGCCAGGCTGGACACAGGGGCTTGGAGTAACCTGCTCTAGTGGAAGGTGTCCCTGCCCGTGGCAGAGGTTGGAGCTGGAGGAGCTTTAAGGTCCCTTCAACCCAAACCAGGCTGGGGTTCTATGATTTTCTATGCATTGCCCGATGACTGCACAGATGTACACACACACGCACATTACTTCAGCTTCTGTTCCTGTGTCTTTGGGATCCCACCCAGTAGCAGCACAGCACCAAAGCTTTCACTGTCCTCGGAGCAACCCCCAGAGACCTCAACTTGTTCCTCACGGAGGTGGCAAATCAGCCCTGGGGCAGCGACCCGAGAGCAGCCTCACCAAGGGCTTCGCCCTCCCTCAGCGAGGAGGGCTCACAGCGGGAGCGAAAGGGCTGGTACCTGGATGGCCCACTGACGTGGTGGACAAGGCTGAAGGTGGAGGTGGGCTGCGAAGGAAAAGCAGAGCTGCCCCATCTCATGGTGTACATGGAGCTACCACC